TTCCACCAGTCTTCTAAGGATGGTGAACAGAGGAAGTTAAGTTGATAGTCGAACAGTGAAAGTACTGTTCGACCAGCATACCTGCCAATATGCTTGGTGGCAGCATCCTCAGTATAGTCGTTGCAAAAATATAACATGGATTTCTCCCTAGGAAAAATAGGAGAAGGAAGTGATTGAATGATACCAAACTGTCGAGAGACCAAGTTTGGTTGGTAAGCGATCAAGCTCAAGTGATTCTTGGAGCTCTTAAAGCGCAGCGGCATTATTCTGGGTGTGAGAAATGCTTCCCACATTATTGTGTGTTCTTCAACATGAGGGTCACCTGACGACTTGGGATGGGGCCTGATGAACCATTCTGGACCAACCTTTCGACGAGCAAAAGGAGCCATGGTCGAAGTGAATTCTTTTCTTCTTGCAAACATCAAGACGAAGTTTGCAAAAGTCTGTTGAAGTTCCAGCCCATCTTCAGTCGGGGTCAGTAGAGCTAATCTGGTGCCTTCGATACGCCTATTTGCTATCTCAGGAGCTTGCTCATTTATTTGAGTTTTCTGAGGTAAGAAAGACTCAAAAGTGGCATTGAGCCACAGTTGAAGTAGCCAAAAGGGTCCTGCAAGCAACAGACTGGCTCTATTTTCGATGACTTTTAACAGAGTCACTCCGCTGCTGATCGACTCGTACAGATTCGCCAAGATTAATTCGGCCAAACAAATGTTTTGGCCATGGTGAAGCTGGGTGGCGAGGGTGACCATCTTCTTTGTCACCTGTAAAGACTTTGTACAGAACACAAAGCGTGACAGCCAAAGGGCTAGAAACGCAATGTGCTCTACATCCGTCACATTGGCTGTCGACCTATCATGGTAATGGTTGATATAGGTGGTATAGGTGGGTTTCGTAGCTGAGAATCCAATCTGATCCTCCGACATTTCCTCTGGGTCGAAATAATCCTCAGTGGGTCGAAGGCCGGTGATGGCAGCCACGTTGAAAAGCGTGGGTGTTAGCATTCCACAAGGAAGGTGGAAAGTGAAATGAGTGTAGTCCCAGAAAAGCAAAGAGGCTATCAGCATCTCAGGGGAGTAGTTGAGACCCGTCTTCGACAGCATGACTAGGTCGTATATCCCTAGGTTCTTCCAGATCGAAGCCTGGCTTTTTTCCATCTTCTCTATCCAAGCACTGTAGTCAGGTGTGAGGCTAGGGCTAGACCTAAAAGCCCTAACACCCCTATTGAAGAAGCGAAGATCTATCTTCTCCTTAGCGGGATCTTCGTTGTCATCTGCAGCTTTTTTAGAGCACCCAACAGGTTTGAGCGCCTCAAGCACTGGAAAGAAGTTCTTGATCTTCGTGGATTCATCAATGCATGGGGATAACGGGCCAGACATAGCGAAAATTTGGTTGGAGTATCCAACCGGAATCATTAGTTGATGTGAATAAGCTTCACGCTCAGCAGTTTCCAGGGGTTCAGGAACCCTTCGCTGGCCTGTAGGGGTAACTGTTGGAACAGTTGAGAAGATTTTGGGTTTAGCATTTCTGGAAGGGATGTTAGAACTAGGAGCGTTAGAGGAACCTGAAGCCATTTTTGAGTTAAGGTTGAAGGTGAGTGAAGAACAAAGTGTTTGCAAGTTTGCAGAGATTTTGTGTTCAACAAGGAGGTTTGAATGCAGAATAGCGTGAAAAAGTCCCACAATGGGTACCTAGCGCTATGTATAGTGGTTGGGAAATCACCAAATTCGAGGTCATTTAATGTTGCAGAAGATAGTGGGACACGTGGCGTTCCTTCGCTGACATAGCCGTTCTGCAGAAACGAAAAGGTGCAGCGTGCGCCCTCGTTTTTGGGAAATTGTCATGATGACAATTTGTGAAAAGACATTGGGCACGCTAAACGCCTTACTGAGGTGACGTCTTAGGTACAGATGGAATGATGGCTTTTTCTTGGGATTGTCATTGGTTGGTAGAAGACAAAAAGTGCACAGGTTAATTGGTGGCTAAGGATGAAAGACAGGTGTCGAATGGAATCTCAAAGAATGCCTTTTTCTTTTCAGCGTCGAAATAAGGCATTCTTGGGGGGCAATTTGTTGGCTCCTAAATTCGACACCCTTGTTTTATTAATATAAACCATTAATCAAGAGGGATGGTTTCGACCAGCTAATTCTGTCGAAATGCTCATCAGAAGATGGCAAAGTACTTAGAGAATTTCTTCTAAGTAAAAATCTTGTTGCCTTCAACGTCGAAGGTGCTTCTCGACAAAGGAGTTCGATGCTCAGAGTGGAACGGTTTGAGATTCAAACGTTTGAAGGGAAAACGGTTCCCAGTGGTTACCAAGTGCAACGTGTCAAGATCAGGAGCGTCGAATGCTGTGAGCGTGCCAAGCGGAGTCATCTCGAAGCGGCGTAACTGCCCGACGGTTACTTGGGATGTGTTTAGTATAAATATTAGTTGTTCACGTAGTTTTTCGTGTGTATTCACAATTATATACAAGTCACTCATATAGATTCAAGTACCCAGCGTGAGCGAAAGAATTGTTGAGAATGTATGTGTGAAACACCACTTTAATTAATCAAAGTCATTTATTTTCCAGAACTTTACTGCTTCTTCATTTACTTTTCCAGTCGAAGCCCTTTATTCAAAGCTTTCTTTATTCTGCCAAGTTTTCTTCATGCAATTTACATAAAGCTTCTTTATTTTCTTGTCATTTAACCATCATTAAACTTAGTCAAAACCCCAAAATCAACCATGTCTTAGGAACAATCTGATCGATCATGCGAGTCACCAAATAAGTAACCTTTTGGAAGATCAGCGGTTGTTTACCAATTCCCACGGTAAACAGTTATATTATGTAGTACTTTGATGAATATAAGTGTTCTACTTATTCGAAAGATTATTTGGACGAAATTAAGGCGGATTGGTGTCAATACATTATTGAGATGAGAATTTTATAAGGTATTGTGACACTTTCATTGATGAGAATTTTAAGTATATATAAGTTTGAGTTAATGAGATATTATGTCGTCATAGTGTGGTACATTGTTGCAATGTTGTTGTTGTCATGTGGAAGGTTAGTTAGGATGGTATTGGATTTAAATTCAAACAAAATTTTGTTTGCATGGTATGAATCAGGGAATTTTTAATGATGGGTTATAATGGAATCGGGGAATTTTGTTTGTATGTATGAATCGGGAAATTTTTAATGGTGGGTTATAACGAAATTTTGTTTGTTTGTATGGACGAAATTGGGGAATTTTGTTTGTATGGTATGAATCGGGGAATTTTGTTTGTATGAATCTTGATTTGTTTTTGTTACATTGATTTTTAAGTGTTATATATATATATATATATATATATATATATATATATATATATATATATATATATATATATATATATATATATATATATATGCCTTTGTTGATTTTGTTTCAGGTAGGTGCATATGTAGAAGATATATAGATTCATTTAGGATTTGTCATTGTTGTTGTTTGTAGAAAAGATAGTAGAGAATATAGCAACTCTAGAAGATAACAATATGTACATTTGGTGCATATTTATTTGTTTATAAAGTTGTATATGTAAATATTTAAATTTATGTTTATATAAATTATTGAATTCATTAAGTTGTATTTATGTATATATAAATTGTTAGATTAAAGTTGTATATATAAATATGTAAATTTGGTGTATATTTATTGGATTAAAGCTTCAAATTTATAAATTTTGGTGCAAATTTGAAAGACAACGCTTAAATTTTAAGTGATTATGTGTGCAGGGCGCTTAAAATATAAGCTGAATATATTTAAAAATTCGTGAACATTAGACAGCGCTTTAAACCAAAATGCGTTGCCTATTATGGGAATAGAAAGCGCTTGTGAAAAGCACTGTGTAAAAGGGGACTTTAGATAACGCTTCAAAATAAAGCGCAACCTAAAATATAAATAAAAAAAACATTATTAGACAGCGTTTTTTCTATAGTGTGTATATAACAACGCTTTTACTTTAGACAACACTTGTGGAAGCACTGCCTAAAGTAAAAGCGTTGCTATAAGCACACTATAGAAAGCACTTACATTGTTAAAAGTGTTGCCTATACGGGCCTTTAGAAAGCGCTTATTCAATAAAGCGTTGTCTAAAGTCTACATTAAGCAGCGCTTTCACATAGACTAAAAGCGCTGCCTATGGTTACAGTAGCGCAGGAATAGACATCACTTATAAGCACTGTCTATGATAAAAAAAAGTGTTGTCTATGTGCTTGTTTGACATAGTACCTGCAAAAGAAAGTTGTCAAGTTTTCCAATGATCAACTTCGACTTAACTTATTTTAATATATAATTAAAATCATAGCTTTCAGGTGCTCTACTGAGGAGAAGGACACCCAAATACTCACCAAACGATTGTGTTTCTCGAAAACCAGATATAATAGCCAATTTATGTGGAACACACAAAAGAATTTATAAAGAAAAGAATGATTATTTTATAAATATTCACTTGTTGATCAAATAATAGGTAAAATTGATTAACAATATCAATCACACATCACATTACTTTTGTTGTCCAAACAATAGGTAAAATTGATTGACAATATCAAACACACATTACATTACTTTTAAATATATATAGCTTGAACAAACCATTAAAGATCATCTTCGGGCATCAAATGAGATATGCGAGAATAATTTTGAATTATTTAATCATAAAAATATTAAATAAAAATATTTTAATCATTTTTAATATATTTTGAATTATTTAATCATTAAAATATAAAATTAAAATAAACAAATTTTATTTTTGAGCTGATAATTACCGCTCCCAATATAATATAAATAGGCATCCAAGGAGAAATTGAATAACAAATAAGCATCAAGTAGCTGTTTTGAATCCAATCGACTCCCTTTTCTTTTACCTTTTCTTGCAGTTCTAAATCTCAAAAAAGCTTTTGCCTTCTCCTCCAAAACTTTACATCGATTCCTATAAACCAACCAAGTGTCGAACTCAAAAAAAAAAACAATAACATTATGGTTGCAGGATGGAGAAAAGCGTTTTACACGTCCAAAGACAAAGACTCCAACTCCAAAGTGTTAGTAGAGACACACGGACACCCCCAACATCTGGACTTGGAAAACATCAATGGAAGTCCTCAAAACAACCTCCGTTGTCGAACCTCTGATTCCAATTCACCACTTTCCGACAACAAAAGCAATAACAGTCCCAAGTGGTCATCATCATCATCCCCTAATTCTCCATCATCTTATTACACTTTTCTCAAATCTACCTTAGGCCTTTCCAAAGTATATATACTCACACTTTATATTATTTAAGTTTAATAAGATATTTTGTGATAACTTCTAACAACATTTTTATATTTATTTGTGTATGTGCAGAGTTTATGTGGAATTTGTTCCGAGAGTGTGAAAACTGGTGAAGGAAAAGCAATTTTCACAGCTGAATGTTCTCATATTTTTCACTTTCCATGCATAGCAGCTTACGTGAAAAATCAACAAATCACCACGTGCCCGGTATGCGGCACTAACTGGAACGACCTTCAACCAGAGAAAACTAACTCCAAAACGACGACGTCGTTGAAGCTCCCAAACTACAACGACGATGAGCCACTCTTGTCGTCTAGCTCGGTTTCACGTTTCAACACGATACCTGAATCAGATGAAAACGAAGAAGAAGATGAACAACAAGAAGGAGAAGAAGATGAAGAAAACATAAAACCTATTGAATTTCAAGGCTACGGTGTTTCTTCCACTAGATCGTTTGATGCGTTCTTGTTACCAGAGTCTGCTCTTATTGCGTCTAACAATAGTTTCAAGACTTTAATTGCAGTGTTAAAGGTGAAGGCAAAGCCGTATAATGTAGTGGCAAATCGGCCGCCGGTGGATCTCGTGACGGTGATGGATATCGGTTGTTGTGTTTCCGGTGAAGATTTTTTGATGCTGAAACATTCAATGCAAGTCGTAATATCTTCGCTCGGTTCATCTGATCGTCTCTCGGTTGTTTCATTCTCCAGCGGATCCAAACGGCTGTTTCCGTTGCGGAGGATGACTGGCCGCGGTCGTAGATCGGCGTGTCGCATTGTAGACGCGCTTGTTACTAATGAGGTGAACGGTGATGAAGCTCCGGCGAGGAAGGAGGCGGTGATGAAAGCAGCGAAAATTCTAGAAGATCGTCGGCAGAAGAATTCTGTTACCAAAATCATACTCCTTACAAACTGTTATGAAGATAGGAGATTATCTTCCACGCGCTGCTCTCATTTGAAAATCCCTGTTCACGCTCTTAACTACTCACGCGCGCTTCATGATAGCGCGTTTTCAGAACGCGTCTTGAATTTATTGCGCGTGGTTGCTCAAGACATCAAGTTTGAATTCCATAACACAACCTCGGAGGAGATTGAAATCGCCGCCGTTAAATCCCCGTGTTCCGCCACGCTCGGAGATATTCAGGCGGATGAGGAGCGTGAGTTGGTTGTTGAGTTAAAAGTGCCATCATTTCATGGGTCCCACAGCCACGTTCTTTCCGTACGGTCCTCATATCGTGATCCATTTACTCAAGAGCTTGTTCATTCTAAGGAGCGTTTGATTAGTACTCCACGTTCCCTCCCCGTAGAATCGTTAGACCCGAAGATCAAACGGTTGATACAATTACATTGGAGCGTTCGAACGAGCGCTCCAATAAAAAAATCGAGTCCTGAAACGGTTCATGAATGGTTGCGGAGACTTCAAGCTGAAGAAAAGGTTGAGTCGTTCACGCCGATATCGGCTTGGAAAGCAGCTGAGAAACTGGCTAAAGTGGCTATGATGAGAAAGTCTATGAATAAAGTCAGTGATTTACATGGCTTTGAGGATGCAAGATTTTAAATGTATTTTTCTTTAGTTTATTGTCGGTAATAATATATTAAATAAAAATTTGTAATAATGAAAATAATTCAAATAAATGAAAATGAAGAAAATGAGAAAAGCATAGATGAAATGAAATCGGTCCATGAATCATGATAAGGACAAGAAAGCACCAAACGGCTAGGCCCTTTTGTGAATAGAAAAGAAACAGATTGTGATGGGCAAGTGAGATTGGAGTATAAATTATTGGAGCGATAGTTTTTGTCTTTTTGTTTACAAATGTATGTATAATTGAAGCAGGTGTTGGGTCTCATCAAAGAAAATGTTGAAAATTATATTCTTGTATAAGTCATCAAGAGTTTTGTATTTTTGAATGTGCTGTGCTGTTAATTCTCTCATAGTGTACTAGTTTCCGGAGGGTTGAGAACAAAATATGTGGGTCACGTTTCCGGTTTTGACAAAGGATGGTGCCAAGTGACTAATGATATTTTTTACTATACATACAATGCATAAATGTATAGGTGTTTGAATTTGAAACTCGGTTAAAATTTTAAGAATTAAGGTTTTGCATGTTTTTATGGTGCAACAAAGATAGAAACGGTTTGATTTTGCAATAAAAACATTATCACTTTAAATACTATTACATTGCAATTAACGCACCTAATTCACTTATTTTTAATTACATTTCAACAATTTGTCTCAATTCAAAGTCTCTATAATCTAGTAAATCGAAGATCTTTCTCATTTCTTTGAATGTCACAATTTTTATTGGATGGATTAGGACATCTGCAACTTGATCATTTGTCTTATCTTATAAAATATGTTAGAAAGATTTGACTCTTATTTATTTGATCTTTAAGAAAATCGAATTTGATCTGTATGTATTTTCTCTTTCTATGGTTATTGAAATTTTTAATAAAGTTGATTGTTGACTTGTTGTCCACCATCCAATTTTTCATCCTTATCAATTTTTATTTCATCCAACAAAGACTTTTGACATGATTTTTAGCTTCACATGATGATAGATTCCGAGTATTTTACCTTTTGAAAATATTTGAGATTAAAGACTAGAAGAGTATGAACACGTGTCACATTTTATTTCTCCATTCCATCTTTTTTTTCACAACAATCGGAATCACAAAAGCTACAAAACTTTTCTCTTTGGCCTTTATGTTTTGGAAACAAAACATCATGGTCAATTATTCCATGAAATATTTCCAGATCTTTTTAATCACTTGCATATGAGACACTTTAGGTTCATACATATATTTACTTACCACATCTAAACCATGACAAACTTTAGATATTCTTCTTGTTCATTGTTCTTTTTCTTCTTGTCTTGAAGATAACAATTATTTCTTAAAGAAGATTCAAATTGATCAATGTATTTATTTGAGTTTTCATGTTGAATTCCTCATTTCTTGGAATTTTCTTTCCTTTCCCACTGCCTTTCTTAAAAGTTTGAGTTTGTGGGATTTGCTCATTCATACGCTCATTGATTCTATGTGACACTCTTTTTTCACAAGCTTTCAAAGAACATTGCAATTTTTATATCGATTATATATGCACATTGCGCTTTTTAATCATGATCACAATATAATTATTATATACTCTATGAAAAAGACTTACAAAAACACTAATGAGACCCAATACATTAAAACCAATTTATTTATTTCTCTTGAAACAAATAACATCACTAACTCAACTAATTTGTTACTTAAGTAATACTTCTAAATTACTTAGTTTGAATTAAATTTTAAAAATGCCATGTCAATATTTTGGCTTTTGCTTTATTTTTCAATCCTATCCAAATCCTATGCCTTTGAGACTTTAGTTTAAATTGACTCTTTAAATCTTCATCCTAACTTGAAAGTACACTTACTATACTTGGGTGAAGATCTTATCATCTAGAGTTTGCTTTTGTGCTATCTATGTGTAACGCACTAGATGGTGGGGTTTTGCTACAACGGTGCCTAACAATAACTTGAAAGAATCAATGAAAAAGTTGTGGCAAGCAATTAAATTTGTCATGAACGGTAAAGTGAATGAGTGTGTCCCACTAATGAGAAAATATTCTCTTATTTTTCTTCTTGCAAACTAAAAATGGTAGGCAAATATATGGATAGAACGCGTGAATGTGTTCTTTCTTTTTTCTTCATTATGCATATTTTGTTATAAAGTTGTGTTACATAGTGTGTTGTGTTTGTACTTGTATGATGAGATTCATGTACCTTATCTTTTGTTGGAAATTGCTTACCTTGTAAATTTCCTAGTGTCATGAGTCAAACTCTTTATGAAGAAAAGACAGTGTAATACAAACAATTCTTAAGACGGTGCAGCATCAAATCATGAATGGCAATAGGGCATTCACTTTGCTTTTTAGTCAGCAATTAAATAGTGATTAACAATATTGATATTCATTATTCGTAATATGATTAGTGAGACAAAATACTTCGTTTTTTTTCGTTATGTTTTTACATGTCTAAACGAGCCGTATATATAACCAATATGTTGATGAAGTACATTATTTGGTTAATGTTAATTAATGACATTGAAATTTTGTTGTTATGATGATGGTAAAACACGTCTTGAATTTCACTTCTTACCAAATAACAATTCTTAAACTGTACGTAGTTATATATAGTGCACAAATGAACAAACAATATTATTTTGGACAAATCATTTGCAGAAGGTGTTACTGTTTAAATCTTATGTTCAGCATGTAAAGGTTGAAAAATTCCATCTCTTTATCCACTGAGCCAAAATCCTATTCTCCATAATTGATGATATTATTATTATAGTATTATCTTCCATAGCTTTCTTGTCATGATACGCCCCTAAAATCTGCATATTGTTTTAGTTTTGTCATACTTAATACAGTTATAAATATCTATCTTATTAGGAATATATATAAAAAATATGAATACTTTCAAATTTGATTCAATTCGTATTCATCATTATCATTTAATGTTGTGTCCTTTTTCTATATGTTGAATACGTAATTTTTTGTGTCGAAATAGTATTCAAAAGTCGAATATAATTAGTTGTCGAAATTTATAAATTGTCGAAGGAGTTAGACTTAGCAGTTATTCCGTGTATTAGTTGAGTTAGTTAGCTAGTTAGCAAACAAAATAAACTATATATATATATATATATATATATATATATATATATATATATATATATATATATATATATATATATATATATATATATATATATATATATATATATATATATATATATATATATATATATATATATATATATATATATATATATATATATATATATATATATATATATATATATATATATATATATATATATATATATATATATATATATATATATATATATATATATATTATTGCAAACATAACGAGAAATTGAGATTGGCAATTTGCAAATAGAAAGTAGAGGGTTACTCTGCAGAATAAACAACGTATTCTTCTTCCCTTCTTCATCTCTAAAATCCTAATTTTCTCGTTTTCTTTTCTTCTCAAATCTTTGTGTAGCAGAATCATCTTGTAATCAATATGTGGTTGATTCACTCGAGTGAAGAGTGAAGAGCAAGAGGAGTGATCAATCAGAAAGATTGGTCCTTGTTCATCAAAATTGATTCGGATTATCTCAAATATTAGGGTTAATTACAATATCTGATAACTAGAACACTTTTCGTAATTCTTGGGAAGCGTGGCATGATGAATCATCCAAACAGACACTTTACAATAAATCTTCTAATTTTGAAAGATAAGAATTATGAGAATTGGTGTAAGTTGGTGAAAATTATCTTCTACTATCAAGATCTTTGGGATCTTGTGAAAAATGGAGCAACACCAATCGCAGAGAATGCTACGGATGAACAAAAGGCTGCATATAAAGATTTGAGGAAGAAAGATTATAAAGTTCACTTTATAATTCATCAATGCGTTAATCCAGACAACTTTAAGAAAGTTGGTGATGTAGACTCAGCAAAAGAAGCATGGGACATCTTGGAAAAATCGTTTGGAGATGTAGAGAAGGTGAAAGATGTGAGATTATAAACTCACAAAAAAAATGTATGAATTACTTCAAATGGAAGAAATTGAAAGTATGGTTAACTTTTCACTAGGGTTACTGTAATACGGTGGGAGAGCTGACTTTTTTAGCATTTTGTCACAAATGTTGCAGTTAGCAAGAGTCGCCACCGACTTTTCTTTTATCCAATATAAGGAAAGGCTGAAAAGAACACGGAAGACCTTGATAGATTTTGAGTTCGGGGGGGTAAGTTATGAAAAGGGAAGGTGTTAGCACCCTTTTTATTCGTAGTTATCTACGGGCTCTTAATCGCTAGCTCACTTTTTGAAATTTGCTTTGTGTGTATGATTTGAAAAGCCAAAGTACGACTAACTTTGTAATGATTCTTGTATCGGTCCTCAAGAACGCGTACAAAGTGTTTGAAAATATTTGTTTTGAAAAGGTGATGTGTGAAATGTTTATTTTTTAGAAAAGAGTTGTGAGCAAGCGATTAAAAGTTCTTACACACTCAAGGTCATTCTTATTCTTTTCCTTCTCCTTTAGAGATTGTGTTATCTGTACCATTAGTTGGCAGGTAACCCTATCTATTAGATGTGAAGGGACAGACGAAATATCTTCGAATGGTCATAGGAAGAAACTTGTAAGGATACTTTAGCAATTCGAAGGGATTGTCATCATATTATTCGTAGGCAACAAGGGACTAGATCATTTTTCGTAGGCAACTCGCGGGACATCGCATGACTATGATCATTATTCGAAGGGACTATGATGATTTAATCGAGGGTCTTTGCTATAGTACCCTTACTTTCGAGGGACATGACCAAATATCTGAAGGCAACAAGAGGGAATTACTCTAGAGGTGTATGTGTGCAAAGTCATTCAATTACAGTTATGTTATCTTAGAATTGCTTAAGGTTATCTATCAATTAATTTTATCTCGCCATACAAGCCTATTACTACACAGTTTTATATATATATATATATATATATATATATATATA